ATCCGTGACACCGTGGTTCGAGCGTTAGACTTCTGACTGACACGGTCGCGGTTCCGAACCTCGGGGTCACCAGCCTTGGGGTTGGTACTGGCTGGCTAATGAAAACTTCTAAGCCCGAAACGGCCATTTCAGTCCCTCTTGTCTTTGTCGGTTATGCCATTTTACTGCCATTTCTGATCGAGTGAACGCGTTTAACACTTTGAAACAGATGAGCCGAACAAGAACTTTCTGAAACGTCAGCATGTGAATAAACCGCTTACGATGAGCATTTCTTGCTTCTCAAGTTACCAGTCCGGAGATCTATTGAGAGTTAGTTGCTGTCTCAACACCAGAAGAATCCCCAAATCGCAAGTCTGGGAAGACGGAATGAATTGGAACAACTTTACTGAGCTCAAGTAGCTTTACAGTAACTGCTGAAAGCGCCGCGTACAAAAGCCAGCCGTTTAGGCGCAAAAGTTAGGAAGTGTCAGGTCTTGGCTGTGGGATGAGTAATCTATTGGCTGCCGACAATCAAATGAGGCAGAAGTATCGATTACCTATGATAGTACACATGGTGAGTGAGCATCTAGCGTGCAAAGGAAAATATCGCGCAGCGAGCGAAGCTCAGCGCAATTGCTCTGGGCGACGGATTCCTACAGATCTCCACTTTGCCTATCATACAGTTTACCCTTCGAGTCCCTGATAATTACAAGTCCCTGGTAAAAGGTAAAAACTGAAGTCCCAAAAAACGGCATTTTTATCTTTCATAGTGACTCATGCAAAACATTTTTTATTGGCAGAAGTCCTGCTGCACTTTCGAGGACAAATGCTCCGGCAAACTGCACAAATTGTGAATTATTACTATAAAGTCCTAACTACCCTTTGTGACGTAATTTAACCGGCGTTGAATCATGCTATGTTGACAGTATTTTACAGACGGGTCATGTGGCCCATATATCTACTTCTCGACGCTTTGCTCGTAATCGGCTGACCGCAGCCCTACAAAACATGACACGTCATCCGCAAGGTCAGGCGGAAACTCGTACTGGTAGTTTAAGACAGAGAGAGAGAGAGTCACTATTTGTCAGCGCCAATCAAGTGATCCACCAGTTGCTCCTGCTGTCAAAGGTTGCTTTGATGATGGTGCAGGCTGAGAGCGCAATCTACTGCAGTCCAAACGAGCCAGCGAATAGAATTGTACGGTGGATCAATACGCAGTGCACATTAAGCGCACCCAGAAGCATTCAGATCATAACGCCGCCACCACGACACGTGCGCACCCATCTAGGGAAAATAGATAGGATTTGGGAAAATGTCTTTAACCGAGGGCGTCGAGACTTCAGCAGAACGAGATTCCGGAATGGCTACCGCTATAGAATCACCTCCGCCTCGAAGTCCCATCGTGCTTACGCTGAGCTGCATTTCCATAGCTCTAGTCTTTATAGCGGTTCATGCCTGCACCCTTACCTACATCCAGAATGTTGGTAAGTTCCGGGTAACGTGGTGCCTCCTTTCTTACATAGAATTTGATATCCCCTTTTTGTCCACAGCTTCTACTCATTCCTAATTAACTCTATGCCCAAAGGGCAATGAACTCAGTTGTGTTGATTTAAACAATAGCCCTAACGCCATGCGTCAGACAATGACTCAATCTGTCGATGCTATTTCTTGATAAATGATATATTCAGCCCTCATGAAACTTACAGATTCTCAAGCTAAGATGAACTGGTAAAATCGTTCGTAGGCATGGCAAATGCTCATGACTTCTGGCCTAGACTTCAAATAAGGCTTTATCTGTTCTACCAGTACCATCCCCTCAGTCTCATAAAGTAGTTTAACACCTACTGGCCTTGATCATTATTGTCCTGCCCCTATTTCGAAATTTCGTGTGTGCGATTTAGTTTGCGAATAAGATGTGTCCCTCGTCCCCCGAACATAATTACATAAAATCATTCAGCAGACCCATATCATATCATGCATATTTTACTCCTTTTTAGGGGCTTCCGTCAAGACTTCACTGTACGGCCTCATTGGAACCAGCCTAGCGGTTAACATCCTCTTTGTCATCATCGCCTTAGTAGCTGCAGTTTATCGGCATAACGTGTATTTCTTCTTTGTGTCAAATGTCCTCTTCTTCCTGATGTGTAAGTTGTTCCCATGCTTTAATCTTTATCCCAAAAATGCATTTGTATTCACGCTAACATTTCATTGACGCTGCGGCTTTGCTGTAATATTTTGAAGAAATAGACTCGCTCTACTTGAATAACCAGCAATACGCTGTTTAGGTAGGCCAATTTGATAGGAATAAGTATGACAGAAAACTAGTTTGTCCTGTTATTTTTTGTCTGTCGAATAGATGACACAAATTGTTAAGGTACTATCAACAAAGACAATATAGATTGGAAAAGCCATTTCTGGCTTAGTAGCAGACATTAGCCAGTCATAGTCAAGTCCTGATGATGCATCACCCGAGGCTCTTGGTAAGAGGTCCAAAGCTGTAAACAGTTGAGGCACGGCCTCGTTTTCTCGCCACTTTCGATCGGCAATATTAACGTTGGCGAACTGGCGCTCCCCGATGAGTGATCGCCAATTCACCAATGTATAGGGATTCTTTATGACCCCCTTTCCCCGGTACGGCTAGGACTAGGAGAAAACCCGTTATATTGGCGGCTTCGCACTACCTCCTTGGGAAATAAGCGTTAATATCGGGACTACGGTTACGACTTGGGTTAGTGTTGTGCCCAGCGGAGTCAAAAAAGACTGTAGACAGGATCGGATGCAGTGGCTGATAGAACGCACCAGCTCAACCACGCAAGTTGTGCCAGGTTTTCACAAAGAAACCATTAAAAAGAGGTGTCTCGGATCTTACCTGAGTGAGAATGTCAAGGAAGAGACGTCGCAGGCTGGCTCACCACCCTGAGGGTAGAATCGAGTGAAACTGCCATTTCGTAGGCTTCCAAGGCGCACTGTGGCAGCTGCAAGCGTGTCAGCGTGAGCCATTTGCACTGAGAGTCGACCGCATCCTCTCTCGCAGGCACCAGTTCGAGACGGCTAGCTAACTGATGAGAGTATTCTGGGTAGGATAGCAGCATATTCACACACAGGCGTTACTAGGTCACCTTTCGCCTCGTCTCAAGCACTTGCAGTTGACGATTCTGGACCGGAGACACTACCTCGTGTTAGTCGTGGGACTTTTTTTCACCCCC